AAAATATAATATGTATGTATGTATGTAAGTAGCCACCATCTTAGCTTGGGTCTTGCCCTGCATGCGGCTCCACTCAACAGCAAGATCAAATTCCGTCATCATTCTGAATTCAACATACTGCTGTATGAAGGGCCAAAAAGGGTTGGACGGGCCCGTAAGCAGAGGCACTTACGCGAAACCCGCGGGAATAAGAGAATCTCCTTCCAACAATATGGTCCAACAAAATGAATAACGAAATTTGCAATACATGTTAAGCTTTCCACGGGATGGTTTGTTTAAGAAGAGCGCGTCAAATTCATTGCAACTGTTGGAGTGAAATGTAACTATCTAAAATGACAGTACACATTCCCTCCTAGACTCCGGTTGGCACTCCACTCCATTTTCCAGTTACAACTTCAATGATGCCCTGATGCTCCCTCCCGTCCCAGTATTTATTGTAATTTACATTATGAATTTATATATAATCATGTAATATATAATGTATATAAAATATGTAGTAAAATGAAAAATATAATAAAAAATAAAGATGTATAACCAAATACAAATAACCTAGATTATTGGGTCCTATACACACACTTTTTGTTTTATGTGCCATGAAATGACATAATGCATCATTGTATGTTTTGAAAATATAATACTAAAGTATTGAATCAATAGACCGAAAATCGAGGTTATTTGGACATGAGACATTATATTTAAAAGGATACTACCAAACCGCAGACACGTCCCCTCGAAAATGCAATCGAGAAATGTACAAGAACAATCCTCAACTGGAACGTACTCACCAAATCAATATATCCGGGAGCGCATTCCCGATGTCGTCGAACGGCAAAAAAAAGGGAACTCGGTGAGCAAATTTGTGATACGGAATTTTCACTGAAAACAACCGCGAATTTCACCACACCCAACGGCGAAACACGTTCAGAAGCACTTTTGGTACACTTTCGATATCAATTTCTTTTGATTTATTTTTTTTATTTTTTGCTGAAATAGTTGCAAGTGTACCAACATCAACACCAATCGTGCCAAGCTTTACACGCACCTTGTAGAGCGTACATAACCTGAAATTAAAATTTTCACTCGCGATGCCACAAATTTCTGGTCCGGGAGAAACAATCAAACCACGCAGCGCCACACCTTCTGATGCTTGTTATTTTGCAAACATCATGAATCATGTTTTCTTTCCCGATTCTAAAACTTCTCGGAAAGCGAGAAAACTACCACTCACACACGTATAACCGTCCGGGAGGCAGAGTGCCAGCGCTAATCCGGCAAATGCAGCCGAAAACTATGAAGGCGAACGCACGCACCAAACAGAGAACAAACACGACTTTATTAGGAATAGGGAAGAGCGCTACTTCGTCGTAATCGCCCATTTCCGTTCTATCGAGCAGAAATCATCAATAATATCAATGATTTCACAATGCACAAAACAATAATACGTTTGTTCCGATGCGTTAGTTCATTAGCTACAACATAAATCCTATTAGAGCGCATTGTATGCATATTCACGCTCATTGTTCTCAAAACAAAAGAAGCGCTCCTAGCGCATCCCCTTTTTCTCCGTTTATCCGTAGGACGAAGAAAATCTAATGGCGTTTCAATGCGTTTGGACGGAATTGAAACGCGTAGAACGAATTTAGAAGCAAGAAGCAGTGTTTGATTTTTAATAATATCTCAACATTGTTTGACTCTTTATCAAATCCAACGGTACGTATGTAAAGGTGGATAAATTTAGAAGTTATCTTTGATGAAAACATTCCATGTTTTGTTCAAACCCTTCCCAAAAGAGCGTGGTAAAGTGCGGGATGTCCTTAGTAGGACGGAAATTAGATCAAAAACCCTATTCCTAAAATATAATATACACAATTAAGTACAACACATAACAGACGTTATCCAACGCCAACCATGCGGTCGTATCTAGTATACAACCCTTCCAACTTTTTTCTTCTTCCTTCTTCACTCGCCTCTACTCGTCCCGGTGTCACCGGTGCTATCGAAAACTTCGTACCGCCGTGACCTTGATTCAACAAATCGCTCGACTTTTCCCCATTCATCGAATTTAGCTAGCACTAAGGCTGTGAACCATTTGCCGAGTTAAATTTAACTCGTGGTTAAAAATGACATTTCGAAAGTTATTTCTTATGTTCGAAAATCCCCGTGCTGTCGATCGACCGGTTTTCGAGCCACGGTCGTCAAAATTTAACTTCTTGTCTGTCAGAAATAACCATGCTCGGATAGCAGGGTTAATCGATAACTTTCCATCTGTCAAATTTTAACCAAGAGTTAAAAAAAATCGCCAAATGGTTCAGAGCCTAAGTGTCGACTTGTTTCTTCTTCTTTTTTTTCTCTCCACTCATCGCTATTGCCGCCTCGACCGCCGCAAGCCCAGCAGACGTTCTGATAAGGACACTATCCGCTCTTGAGCTTAAACGTAGTGAATTCCAAAAGGAATTCCGGAGAATTCCAGGAGAGCTAAGTGTTAAACTTTCCCTGTTAGCTTGAACAATAGTATCAGGCAATTTCATTTTCAACAGCTGGACATCCTTGTTGGTGGATGCCATCATGCTACTCGTGGAATTTCAGCAAAATGCTAAATACTGGGAGAAGCAGAAACAAACGGCGCTACAAAACCGCAATTTCAAAACAGCTACATTTTTTTCTGTAAATAAATCCATCCAATCGGTGATGGTATCCGGTACCGCAAGCCTGGTGGTCGTCTTGAATCATCGTTACAATCCGTGCATTCTGTAACACCGGGCAGAATTATACAATCCAGCAAGTCCAGCATTACTAGCAACAATCAATACGAAACTAACGATTTTAAATTGTCTCACTTCTTGACTAGCCTATTGGTCCCAAGCAAACGATTAACGTACCCCATTCTAGTCGAAATTCTAGTACTACGCAATGTTTGTTTTGATTAGCTATGAAAGTTTGACAGGTAAAATGAGGGAATATTGGTTTTTCCTATGTTTCGAGGGGTGAATCGATTAGCTTGGGACCGAAGAAAGTACCAGAGCTGAGCCTAAAAATTGAGCACGTTATTTCAGAACCTTCTAGTCTTAAGGCCGGCGCACAATAGATACGTTTTCGGGTTTTTTTGACAGATAATGCATGGGCTAACTGTCAAAAAACCTGAAAACGTATCTATTGTGCGCCGGCCTTTAGAGTTACCTCTATGTTACTAGTATCTCATCCGCAAGAACTTCAGCCCCAGTTTTCAGTTGCGTATAAAATTATTGCAGAACAATATGTCAATCGGGTTCAGCCCACCGATGATGACATATTGCAACACAAAAATCAGGTTGCTATGTGTATTTGATGTTGATCATCGCAAGTTACTCAGAGCGGCTCAGGGTTACTCAACATTTTACTCCGATTTTACTCATGATCAAAAGCTGTCTTGCTGCTTGATCAAGATCCAGAGATGTCATGTTTGGAAAATTTATGATCATGGGTTAAGAAAAATCTTCAAGATCCAGGTAGTTTATTTTAAAATATTTCGTACATGGAGAAATTTCCAACATTCTGGAACGTCAAAATTGCCAGAACAAATATGGAAGTGTTTGAAATCATAAAAACATAACTACTGTGTAAGGAAGCTCGTCAAAATTTATTTAAGTCTGGACTAATGACCGGACACCCTCAGGCCAATAGTGCCACATCCAGAAATGACCAGAACCTTTGATATCTTGAAAAACTAAACTTCAAAAGCTGGCAGCCTATTGCGTGTTTTGTATGTATTGGTTTAATATTATAAGTTAATTAATGAGAAGTTCCATAAATGTATCCTAGAACCATTTTTCGAATTCATATGAGTAAAAAATGCCAGATATTCCAGTAAATGGAGCATTTCAGTATTATTCTTGAAATTATAGACTATAAAAAATATGTATTTTAGTTAGAGATACTCAACATCAAATATCAGACTTAAAGTTGTCATTTTATACGATACATGAGGAGATGAAAGTAAAGAGTTGATAGTTCCGTTAGAGTACGACAGTGTCCATGCATGGACTAATACAAAAAAATTGTTTATTCTATAAGTCGATTATTCTATAACTCGATGGTCCCTTCATTATCGAGTTATGGAATTGTTGACTGTAGTTTCAGTACTCCAAAATCGATGAAATTTTTGATTTCCGATCCATTTGAAATGCAGATTATTAATATGCACTACCTAACGTAGTTTAAAACCGGTTTTCTAAAAAAAAAACTACGTGTTACAAACGACCACCATTTAAAAGAAATCAATGCCGCACTGCACGATTTGCGTTACTACCAACATTCAATACGAAAGTAACGGGTTTGAATTGGCTTATTGGCTCATTAAACCATGGCCCACTTATTAATGGAACAAACTCTTTGGCTTATTACAGCGCTCCTAGTGGACGTTTTCGGAAACTTTTCGTCATTTTGTTGACAACTACAATAACAACGATAGTGTATTTTTCAGTTCATAATTTGTTTTTGCGGATAAATTTGCACGCAACTATATGATCTGGCAGGGAGTTTGCAGCCACATCCAGACGACAAATGTTTCTCAGTAGAAAATGATAAACTAGGAGGTTTCAAAACCGAATGTCTCCAGAAGCGAATTCTGCCCTCCAGCCGTTCACATGATGGTCCGGTGACAATGGCAACGGAGTCTAGTTTGTTCCGAAAACCATCAATCCACCCAATTGTCCCCAGTTCATGCCCATTGAAAACTACTGGGCAATTATGAAGAGGAAAAGGTGGGATAAACTCACAAAAACAGTGGACGAGACCGTTGTGCGCCGCTTGATGGGTCGTTTTTTTCTTCAAATATAAGAAATAGTATGCACTTGAGTGAAGCGACCCGTTTTCATATCCGTTAATTCAAATTCGAAATAGACCCAAATGATGTTGCTTCATTACTAAGTGGGCCATGCTTTACTTGATTGGTACACAGTTCGTTTAAGAAGTGGCGTTCGGTACGTTTGAATAGAATAATTCTGACCATAAAACAACAAATAAACTAAACACATCATGTTTTCAACACGCACACTCACACACAAACAGAACGTACATCACTCAAGGTCACTTACAAACTTACTACGCCACCTACTGGAACAGCTCGTCGTAAGGCACCTTGTTGAATACGTTCGATATCACCGTCTGGAAGATCTCTACAAACGCATTGACGATGGCCGGTTTCAGCTCCTTCAGGATGTCCTGCCAGTTCTCGTTCAGGAACACATTCATGTTGTCACCCAGCGCCTTGTCCCCGTTGAACAGGTTGGTAAAGTGCATATGGAACCGGGTCGTATCGAAGGTGGCCTTCAGTTTGTCCATCTGGTAGTACTTCTTGCCGTTGCGGTCTACCAACTTGCCGATCCACTTCATCTGGATGTGGTTGTTTTCTGTGGAATGGAACGGAGACCGTTAAAATTGGTACAATTCGTTAAAAAACTTGATGCAAAACCTACCCATGGTCATATTGCTTCTGCCATCGCCCTGAATGGGAAGAACCAGAACCTTTCCGTTGATTTTGTATGCACCAACCAGGGAAGTGACCGGGGCCTGAATGCTCAGTTCCATTTTAGTTGGATTGGCGGTGAATCCACTGCGGGAGGTAACGCACCATTAGTTGACTCATAAACTAGCCCGAATGACACTTACCTAGCCTTCTTGATGACGCTCTGCGACAGACCGGTCAGATCAACGTCCTTAAAGTTGAGGACAATGTTAATCGGTCCATCGCCACCCTGCACGATGTCCATCTTCTGGATCTTGAGCGGATCCACCGAAACCAGGCTGATCTCGGGAATTCCGGCGGCATGTTTGGCGAAGGTGGCACCAATCCGTTCGAAGAGACATTTCTCATCGTTCTTCGGGCACAGCGTGTAACCGGCGGCTGGAGAAGAAGAATAATATTATAATTAATTATTTACAATTGAGTGCTAATGGGAAAAGTCAACGCTCAGAAATTTAGAAGTGTCTTCAAAGAGTAAATGACAATTATCAGAATTCAATAACGCAATATCCCTGGTTGATGGCTAATTTCAGTGTAATTCATCAAGATTTTAATGAGCCCATCACAGATAACTGGTATCTTTACAGTAGCAATTAATAATCAAAACAAATTCGCACTAACTATTCGATATGCAATTAGCTTTTATCACCCTTTAAAGTGCTGGAACAAATGCGATATTCCTATAGCTACCTTATTCCATACCTACATGGTAATTGCTGTTTGCCAGTTAAATTAAGTATGAACGTCAATCAACTGTTGATGATACCAATTATTCTCCTGATGAGTTGCCCCGTCGCCAGTGGCGTCCGGTTTCCCAGCAAACTGGGAAATCTTTCATCTTTATTCATTCTTAGTGAAGCACTCTAACAACTTGAAAAAAAAGGTGTGAGAAATTGCGGGAACGTCAACCACAGAAGTATTGTTTCAGAAAGGTAAATACCTAGATATTTTTATGAATAAAAAATTCTATCCCATGGTTGTTATAAAATATTCGAAACATTCCCAGCCGACTTGATTACATAGCGCAACTTGCGCAACAAAGTAGGGTGAATGCTGGCTTCGTCAATACCTGTCCATAAGTCCATAAGCACTCACTTGATTGTCAGAGGATGAGGATACCTCACATTTTAGGGCATCGTTAGGGCAAAATTGACCGTCGATATTTGGAGTGCATTTAGTCTCCTTACGATAAGAGGTAACGGAACTGCCGAAACTAGCAGTCACCCTATGTTGTTAGAACGAATCTGATTTCAATTCACTGGCTGCTAGGATTCCCACCTGCATTGTTGGGCGTTGATACTGTTGGCTTAGTTTTATAATCCGATGCTGGAATTTAAATTTCAATAGAATAATTTACACTCTTCATATTGACTTATTGACTGACGGAAGCTGAGATATTATAGAAACACTCTTGATTCCCTTTGAATCTCGAAGAAGGTTACGGCAAGGTGATGGACTTTCGTGTCTGCTATTTAACATCGCGTTAGAAGGTGTGATCAGAAGAGCTGGGATAGAGACGAACGGCACGATCTTCAGGGACTTGCCATCAACGCATCGAAGACGAAATACATGAGAGGAAGAGGTTCTAGGGAAGACAGTGTTAGTCTCCCACCCCGAGGTGGTCAATGAGTTCGTGTATTTGGGCTCACTGGTACCAGCAAAGAATTTCAAAGACGCATTATGGCAGGGAATCGTGCCTATTTTGGACTCCGGAGAACGCTCCGGTCGAAGAAAATTAGCCGCCGCACCAAGTTGACTACTCTACAAGACGCTGATTAGACCGGTGGTCCTCTTCGGCCACGAGACCTGGACTTTGCTCGTGGAGAACCAACGTGCCCTTGGTGTTTTCGAACAGAAGGTGTTGCGTACCATCTACGGTGATGTGCAGATGGATGACGGAACGTGAAGGAGAATTACACCAGCTGCTGGGAGAACCAACTTTTGTCCACACTGCAAAAAATGAGCGACTACGGTGGGCACGTCGTAAGAATGCCACGCGACGGCCCAGTCAAAATGGTTCTCGAAAGCGACTCAACAGGAACAAGAAGAAGAGGCGCGCAGCGGGCAAGGTGGATCGACCAAGTAGAACGCGACCTGCGGACCCTTCGCAGACTACGAGGCTGGCAACGTGTAGCTATGGATCGAGTAGAGTGGAGACGACTTCTTCGGACAGCAGAGGACAACAAGGCTTTAGTCTGATTGCACCACCATCCTCCACTTTGATTCATAGCCTCAAAATATAAGACCCATTGCAGGTGACGTGACACGCAGATCGTCCAACAATCGATACGAAACTAACGATTTTAAATTGGCTCATTACTTGACTAGCCCATTGGTCCTAAATACATCTATAAGCGCACCCCATTCTCGTTCTATAATCTGAGTTTGTTTTTATTCGCGTTATAAATTAGTTTAGTTGGGTTCGATAATTTAAAAAAAAATATAAGGACTGTTCATTAAAGAAAGTGGACACCTGTTTATCAATGGTTTAGGGTTAAGATGTAACGAAAAATTGTGAATTTTCACTCAGTATGTAAAAACATTGTTTATTATGGCAACACATCTGAAAAAAAAACAAAAATTAGAAATGGGTCGGATCAGCTTTATCAACTCGCAGATCAATTCTGCACAAATGATTTTCCGAAAAGTTGTCGTTTCGAGAATTGGCAAAAAGCGTGAAGTGCAGTAGATCTACAGTGTTCAAGATTGTTAAGTAGTTTTGAGAAACGTGTTCTCTTGTAGATTTACCGAAATCTGGGCGCAAAAAGGGGGCATCGGACCAGAAAAAGGAGCTGGCAGCAGTACGCCTTTTGAAATCGCATAAACCGTGTTTCGTTCGTGAAATTGCCAATCAATTGAACATCAGCGTCGCAACTGTGCAGAATATCAAAAAAATGTAACAATATCAGAACCAACAATAGGCAAAAAGCACCCAAAAGGACGGATTCACAGAAAGCTTCTTCGAAAATACGGTCACGGAACTTGTATGACGTTCTCCTTCAAAATCCAAACCGGTGCATTTTGACGGACAACGAGACGTACGTCAAATTGGATACCAGTACACTTCCCAGGCCGCAATTTTTCAACGCTGAGCAGAGGACAGATGTGCCTGATGATGTGCGATACATCCGAACCCAAAAATTTGGGGAAAAAAATGTTTTGGTGTGGCAAGCCATTTGCTCCTGTGGATTGAAGAGTTCTTCGTACTTCACAACGGGCACAATCAATGGTGAAAATTACAGAAAAGAATGCATCAAAAAACGGTTTCTACCCATCTACCGAAAGCATACGGATCCTTTTGGCCAGATCTGGCATCTGCTCACTATGCTTCTGCTACGTTGGAGATACTCAAGAACGAAAAAATCCCCCAAACTGCCCTGAGCTGCGTCCTATCGAAAGATACGGGGCAATAATTAAACGGCATCTTAAGAAAGATGGAAGAGAAGCAAGCTCTGTTGAATGCTTCAAGCAAATTTGATCTGCAGCACAACGAAAAATTAACAAGAAAGTTGTGCAGAATCAAATAGGCGGTATCAAGAGAAAAGTCCGAGCGTTCTTCAGAAATGAGAAGTAAACATTCAAACTCAAATGAAATCGGTCATCTGTATGTTAATTTTCATTTATATTAAGTAATATTGTGTTGGAGTGTTCGACTGTGAGGTTTTACAATAAACAGTTTCGGCTTGGCAGTCTGGCAATCACTCAATCAGAACAAATTAATTTTGTAATTTGTCCCTACGTTTCGGCTCTGATTAGGGCCTTCTTCAGGGGAAACTGATGGGAATTTTATTTTTAGAATTAATTGTTTCACATTTAATAAATATTTTACACTCACAATTGTTGGATTTGTTCTTTGTCTAAATACTGTTGAAGTCTAACGTCTGTTTTTCTGGTGGTAAGTTTTTATACATAGCGGTTTTTAGTTGAATATTCAAAGTTTTTTTTGATTTTTATTTATATAATTTGTGTCGGGTATGAAATGTTTTGCGGTTGTGCACTCTTCGAGGGTTATGGTGGCTATGGTGAAGTGGTGGGAACGGGTATTATAGTTGAGCTTTTTAGTTGGATTCAGGTGGGCATAATTGGTATTGCTGTTGAGCATTGATTGATTTGGCTTTTAGTGAGTGTAAGATTGCTGCGTAAGCTGTGTTCAAATTGTCTACGTCTGTTCTTCTATTGACTTTATGGGGTGTACTAATCAGAGCCGAAACGTAGGGACAAATTACAAAATTAATTTGTTCTGATTGAGTGATTGCCAGACTGCCAAGCCGAAACTGTTTATTGTATATTAAGTAAACTTATGAATTTATACGAAAATAAAAATTTTCCTTTGAAAAACAGGTGTCTACTTTCATTAATGAACAGCCCTTATGTACAGGTTTTTATACACCATCTGAGAGAGCTTTGTTTTCTGAGCAAAACGACGTTTTTTCAACTCGATTTAAATTAAATTTAAATCCAAATAATAACTTCATTGTTTGACAATAAACTAACAAATTAACAGCTCGCTCCCATACAAAGTCCCATCGAGGGGCACTATGATGGTGATTTTTGCCAATGTTTTTCGTGGGGGTAAGGCAGCATTCGATCATGAGTAAAATCGGAGTTAATTTTGAGTAGCGCTAATGTCGTTTTCGTTTTTGCGGTGTAGCCATGGTGTACTGTACACTCAAAAAAATGACACGTTCCATTCATGTGTTTTGGAATATGAAGACCGTTCATTACTTGTCACCATAGAATCATGTGCTTTTCACACGGATGTCATGAGATTTACACACACAAATAATATGTTTTTGTTGCTTATGAAATCAATACTACCACACATTGATTTCATGTGTTAACTTATCGAAATCAAAGAGATCCCCATATAATTATGTGCTACTGTTTCCTACTAGTGTATTTAACGTGTATGACACATGAATTGCAATGGATCTCACTATAAGGATGAGAAGAGTTCCTAAAGTGCCAAAACAAACATGGAAGGCAACAGCTAGCAGAGAAGACTTGTTAGTGGAGTTAGGTTTTCCTAACAAAATCCTCGAAATTATTAACCGTGAGTATGTGAGTATTCTTTGTAGGAAATTATATGTTTAAATAAAGGGATCACTATACACACTTAGAAATAACTAATTTTACACGTGACGGAATCCGTCTTTGACATAAAAGTAGAGACGTAAACAAACATGTCATGTAATGTTTCGTGCTCCGAGACTGAAAAGTTAGTTGCTCGACGAAAAGTAAGTTTAATTGAGCTATATTTCAAGTCTTCTATGGCTCAAATTTATGTCAAAATTGACGCTCGTACGTCACTCTCAGAGCACCTAAATTTATATGATTTTAATTCTAGAACGAAAATGAATTCTTTTGGATATCCGATTCTA